CTGATTTACTGGTAGTCTCGAAACCCTACTCACTTACGAATAGTTTTCAATAACTTGCATTATTAGCCATCCTTTCGACGACTAGTCACATTATTATCGGGTTATGAATATAGAATATCACTTCGATGTTATGCATACCATTAAACGTCTTCTGTTTCAGGGCCCATTAAGTGAGATTAATGACTAATTGAAGAGACGACCTGGACATTCTAATACATTGCACTCTGACTGGCAACTTAAATCTATTTTTAAAATTCCAGACAAACGATTTTCTGCCCAATTTCGTTTAGTCATTTCCTCCAAGTAATTCAGAACCCATTTAGTGTGTTTCTATAGCAAGACGAATGGCAAAGTCATCCGCATTGCCTTCAAACCAATGAGTTAGGATGTATGCATTTTTATTAGAAGCAAGAGTCGCTTATAAATTTCGTGGTCCGTTTACTGAGACTTTATGAATTCACAAATAACTCAGACCAAATTTCACAGTATCAGAGTTGATTCCCTCTATTATGATGGTGACGCCTTCCTCACCTTGAATGCCAAATTATAATTTATTTTTGTGGATCAGGCCCAGCAATATGCACTATTTAATTTTACATATTTTTATTACAAGTGAAATATAATAATTCCTATCTTTGCCATCTTTCTTTCATCGCTTAGAGCCGTTTTTGACAGGTTTCGTTCCTACGTTCACCTACTTTATCCCCATGTTCGTAATCTGTTTGATGCCTGAGCACTATAGCAAAGTCGACATAACCACAATGGAAACCAGGGCATATTTGGGAATCTATAAGACTTAGCAATGAAATTGAAACGACAAACTTGCAGGAATAAATGCTCATGACCTTATTGATACCTAGCCTTCAGTTTACTGACCCCACAGTCCTCGGACAACCGTTGTTGTAACTGTTATTCTTTCAAGTCGGGTGGCTTACTTCCCATTCTGACGCCACATTACTAGAAAAAGATGAATGTACATTCTTTTGCAAGACTATGCCGTTTACATGTTAAATCTAAGTCCCCCTTTTCTTTGGGGCACTGCATTCGCACTCTTCAAAATTCTTATCGCAGTTCTTTCTTTTCACAAATACCGACTCAGATAAACCGCTCCTTCCCAGAAGCTTATTAATACATTCGAATCATACTTGCCACAAGTGCTGTGAAATTGGTTTCTCAGAATCCCTAATCTGAACAAGTGAGATTCACATGTAAAAAATACGAGTTTGTTGAATCGGATTGGACCTGATATGGCATGAAATCGTTAGAGACTAACTAAAATATACCTCGTTTTGGCATCAAATCGTACAGTAACTGTAATTAAAATGACTTACTAGATCACTTGTGCGGCATCAGATTGTAGCATCTAATGTCTAGTACTAATTTTTCATTTTGCATATTTATATATATATATATATATATGTATATATATATCTGTATTTAAATCTAATCCACAATTAAAGTATACTCTCAAATATTTTAAATAAATATTTGCAAATAAATTAAACCAAAAATCATGGCCTCAGTTGCATGTTTAACTGCATTTTTTATAGTGGGATTTTTTAAATTGTCAGAAATTAGTACAGAACAAATAGATTATAGTGGTGTGAACTAGTGAAATGAAGCGGACGGCTAGGCAGAGTTAAGCAATTTGAGCATAAACTGCACTGAATTTCCATTCAAGTACTCAGAATGTGAGACTGTGTCTCTCAGTTGTGAGCTTCGAGCGTCTGCAGACGCGATTGCACAAGAACTGTCGATCCATATGATCTTTCTTCCTTTGGTTCTCTCCAGCCAATAACGGTATGTAAATGATACCAGAAATAAAAAGACTCCCACAGTGAGAGACAAAAGGATGAGGGACACAATTTGAGGGAGCAGGAACAGAGGGAATCTAGAGTGGAGAAGCTGGGTAGGCGTATGGAAGAATAACCGGAGGAAAGCGGGGAGGTGAAGATTGAATGGTTATTTTAAGGGAACTCTCTCCCCATGGCCTTTCCCATAGGTTTGAAGATGCTAGCAATTTTTGCACCATCCTAATAAATAGTCACACAATCAAAAAGAGCATCTTTAAACAATGGCTTAATTGTGCTTAATGTGCAA